ATGAGAAGCCTGTTCAAAAAGTTATACGTTTTCAGCTCTAACACATATTTCTAAACGCGTTAAAGTGCTAAACTGGAGTCTGGGAACTACACTTGGTCTTATCTTGGTCGCGCAGCGACTTCTGTCGTAGTCTTTGTTTGTTGGTGTTTTAAGTAATTGTAAGTTACTTCTATATAATATAGGTCAATTATGTTGAATATGGTGGGAAGTGTTACCAACTATTACTTAGACAATAAAGGCATATTATTATTCTGACCAAGTGTTGTTCCTGATGACGTAGGTTTACAAAAAAACTGTGTTATAACTTATATGTATTTAAAGGCTAAACACTGTTTTTACAGTGTATGCGGTCTACGTGTACTCCTAGGTGCTTGTTTGACTTAAGTTCCTTAGCTCCAAAATTGATCTCAACTTTTTGACCAAATATTCGTTCTCATTATACCCTAGATATATCAATGGGGTTCAGGAAATACGGTGCCTGTTTTCTACCACAAAGACCTGGATATTCTTAGATCGAGTGGATTGCTAAGGATTGGTCGTGAACTGAAGAAGAAAACATTTTTGGTCTAAAATTACAGACCAGGGCTCCGAATCTCAAAAGGTTCGCTAAGTTGCGCACGTGTGCAAGCGTCTCGATTCCATGGCCCCGTATCTCGAAATAGAATCGGTTATGGAATCGAGACGCTTGCGCACGTGCGCAACATAGCGAACCTTTCGAGATACTTAGACCAGCTTTCTGTATAAGGATCACTTGCTAAATAGGTCGTCAAAGGTCTCGGGTGGAGCAAATGCAACGGGTACCTTGAATGTGTAGTGTGTCTAAAAAACGAAAGAAAAAATTAGAAAATTAATAATAATAATAATTCTGTACTACACATTTCCTGAAATGAGCGAAACAAAATATCCTAAATCAAAGCACCGACATTAGAGTAATAAAATATCACTGACTATAATATTAGCTTTAAAAAAACTAATTCCCTTTTGCAGCGTTGCTACCAAATAATACAATTTCAAAACACTTATTTTGTGAATGCCTTTGAATATGTGCATTTTCAGCGAAGGTTTAAAAAAAGTAAGCATATTTGGCCGTCTTATGCTTAACGACTGTTTATTCCATTGTTTTAGAGCACATATCTCAGATGCACAGTCACCACAACAGTCACTTGCTTTGTTATCGGCAGGTGAATACAGTAAAAGATTAACCATCGGCACATAGGCCTACTTGGTAGCCCGTGGGTGTTACTTCTAAATCACATTAACTTTATCAGGGGGTCTGTTCCCCTTGAGAGTCTTAAAAGTTCAATACATTTTGAATAAAATGTTTTTCTTGCTGAAAAGCAACGCTGTGAAGGTTTTTTTTACATAATGTTATCTGCACTTTATTGTTGTGGCTTGTATTAGGTACCATGCAGTTCTGCCATAGAGACCTAAATTAGCTGTAATTCATATATCTGTTAATGCGTGGGCTGAAAAGCAGACTGTCACAGTGATTTAATTAAGATGACAAGAAAGCGTGCACTAGTTAAGCTTGTTAGCATCTCTAACCAGCAAATGACGGATTTGGCTTATACGCCAGGATGAATATAGATTCACAGATACTAGTCACACGTTGTGTTAATGATCCGTAGAAGTCAAAGATCCCCCCCCAAAGTCCTTCACCCTGGGTTTTTCCCTTNTTTTTTACATAATGTTATCTGCCCTTTATTGTTGTGGCTTGCATTAGGTACCATACAGTGCTGCCATAGAGACCTAAATTAGCTGTAATTCATATATCTGTTAATGCGTGGGCTGAAAAGCAGACTGTCACAGTGATTTAATTAAGATGACAAGAAAGCGTGCACTAGTTAAGCTTGTTAGCATCTCTAACCAGCAAATGACGGATTTGGCTTATACGCCAGGATGAATATAGATTCACAGATACTAGTCACACGTTGTGTTAATGATCCGTAGAAGTCAAAGATCCCCCCCCCCCAAAGTCCTTCACCCTGGGTTTTTCCCTTCATACCCACAGTGACAAAATATATAACGGTGGCAGCTTGTTGATGACTAGATTCCTTGAAACACATTAGAAACCACGTGTATATCGGCCTTATCGGCAGTCAAGGCTAAAGGTTTTCTCTCATCCATGGTCTTTGGTCTTCTCTCCATGCTTCAGTGGCAGCTGATCAACAACGATAAGCTATCACGGTCCGTTGTATGATCTTTTTACACGAAAATATTGAGGATAAAGCCATCCTGCTGTAAAAGAACTTGACTTTAAGTTATTTGTTTTGTTGATCACAACGAGGAAGTTTTTCATTAGATCCTAACTCGGTTTTAGTCTGCGTCAGTAAAAAAAGTTACTTCACAAAATTAATTTAATTTAAAACTGAACAGTTTTAATTGAATTGCTTCACAAATTAATTTGATTTAAAACTGAACGGTTTTAATTGAATAGCGGTAATCTTGCTAAAGTGGACAAGTTTTCCTGCATTTTCAGAAGTTTCCTGTCTAGAAAGCGACGTTTACGTAATTATGTGAAGGTTACGTAGGTTTAATGCAATTACTTTGTTGCCATTTTCTGCCATTACCAAACACTGTTATATAACTAGACGAGACGTGACCAGTACTAGCTGCCCCCAACATTCGCAGGCAATCCGACATAAGCCTTGGTAACAGTATACAGTGTGTGGGTGCTTTCCCAGAGATTTAGATCGATCTAAATATTAAGATTTAGATCGACCTAACTCCCTGGGGGTTCACACTAAATTGCAGTCAGCCGAGCGGGCACCATAGTTAATTACCCCCTTACAGCTTTTAGTGGGTGGGACAGACGCTTAAGCCGGCTAAGCTGACAGTAATCTAGTGAGACTCCCCACAGGGATAGATCGATCTAAAAATCTATGGAAATGTGGTGTAAGTCTTAACTCTACTGGCGTGCTGCTACAACCAAGGACTGGTATATGACGTCAGTCTAACACGTGACTTCCCACGAGAACAAACAGGTCTGTACACGCGTACAGTGTTAACAGAAGAAAAACAACTTTTTAGCAAGATATATTTATTCAAGGTTTTTTTTGTAACAATAATGAAAAGTAAAGCATACCTTGTGGAGTCACCAAGCGGCACTGTGGAGCAAGAGCACACGATGAGGTACAAAGCGTTTGAAATGTAATAACGTAACAGAGTTCACATGAGAAAATTGTCATCAAATCACCGTATAGATCTTTAAAAAGTAAATTAGTTATTATACTGATGCATCTATAAAGACCTAATATAAAGATGTAATATATAATCCAAGCTTTTATTTATATTGGTGTCCACAACACTGACCAACAAGTGGACACCACTTTACATGGCGTGCAAACTGGCCGTTGGCAATCTACAACGATTTTTATTGGTCACCATTTCTAGACCTGGATTAAGAAAGGCCGTAGTTGTCAGATAAGTATATGTGGACGCAGCGCTTGAGGGTATCATAACCAGCGTCGTCGACATACAATTCCTGCACCTCACCATGCCTAATGTCTTAAAGCTTGATCGTAGTTCATTTGGTGTGATCTGATACAATTTGCTACTACAGTACATCAAACATCAGTGAACATCATCTTTTGCGTGGAAAAGTAGGAAATACTTTCATTATCACAACGTGTGCCACTACTCCATTAAGTTTCCAAGCTTAAATACTTCGTGGAATACATTTATTCGACTTCCGGAGTGTTTCTTGCCTTAATAGATCATTTGAAGACGGGAAGTGCTTCCTCTGTTATAAAACGATGAGATGTACGAGTACAGTACATATAACTGCTACAGTATGGTATGATGCTTATAAATATTCATATGCTAGTAAAGAAAACCCAAAACATGTCTTGATATCTATTAGTCATGAAAGTAAGAAAAAGTATCGAAGAGTTTAAAGTCTGGCATATTAATGTAGCTTCATTGAAACTGTTGCCTAAATTATCATGCGTAGTTTAATTGGAAAATATTCACTTTATTGTCAAGTATGAAAACATTAGCAAAAGCACCGGTTTGTCTGCAGACTCTTTTGGCGTCATTTCCACACATAACTGTATAGTGGAAACTAAAAATTACAAAATATCGATTTCCATGCGTGAAAATTCAGAATTAAATATGTATTCTTCGTGTTGTTTCAAATGAAGGCGCATACAAACGCCGACGTTATGTCACCACTGTGAATGTTCTAAAATTGTATACATTTTTGTATTACTCAGGGTAAATATAACAACTATTACAGAAAAATGTTCTCAAGAGTTTAGAGATATTTATGAAGTTGAAAATTATATATCAACTGTGTATAATATAATGCAGTAAACTAGAAAAGCATTCGGAGGGTTCACACCGCCTGAATTATTAGTTAATTACCATTATCAATTAGCCAATGCTTATTATTAATTTAATATTTTTTCATGATTAATTAATTAATCAACGGATCAAAACGAAAATATTTATAACTTTTAGCAAGTCAATCTCCGATCTATCTTAAAACGTGTATCAAATGTACATAACTGCGTGAGTTACGCTGTAACAAAGGCAAAATGTGCCCTCCTTGGTGGATATATTGAATATAACATGACGTCATATTGTTCGAATCTCGGTATCTCTGATGTCATACGTAATTGCACGACTTCATCAAAAGACTACACACAATGAACAATAGAAGGGTCACCCCCTGAATCACAGTAATCAAAGTAGGTAGATCTTGAGTACAGGTAGTTTTAAAGCCTGGTCTACTTATAATGTGAAAAATGAGTATAAAACCGCTGCAACATGGAATTGTATTGTTGGTCTTTGTGTGAAATTTGATGTGAATAAAATGATACCAGGAGCATATCGTTCAACAGTTATTTATCTTCCCCCTAAGTATTGGTTCAGAAGGGGTGACACTTCTATTGTCCATGTGTGTGTGGAAATACATGGCGTCAATAACCCCACTCGTCAAGAGAGCGATCTCTGTGTATTGAAAAGACAGTTATATGTCATCTTGAAATCAACTAAATTTAAATGAGCGCTGTCTCCTTAGTTACAAATGCCAATCATCGAACCATCTGCGGCGACGACCTCGCCCCACGTGACAAAGGTCGCTCGGGTCGCTTCCGGTGCTCCTCGTGTTTTGCCTTGATGAGCTTGCTGATCTTGGTGTGGATGTTTTCTGGGATGATGACCATGAAGAACCCCATGATGATCAATATGGTGGCGGCGATCTCCATGCTGTTGAAGACAGGGAACGACCACAGCTCTTCGGCAACTGTAAAGTAACACCATGGCAACATTATTTAAAGGCACGCAACACCAAGGAGAATGGTTGCCAAATGGGCCCTGCTCATTTATTTCTTAATGTACAAATGTCAACTTCGTACGTACTAATTGAATCCAAGGGCAATTCATCACAATGTTATCTAGCATTAATGGCAATTTATATTTAGATGAGCTTTAGTATGTGAGGTGCTTAAAAATATTGGGGTTTCACATCCATAACCTGCGAACAATCCTATAATTCAGAGAGAGAGAGAGAGAGAGAGAGAGAGAGAGAGGGGAATACCTGCACACATAGGAATGGCCAGCAGTAGACCAAGCGGTACGAATACTTCATAGGTCACGGCTTCGGCAAACTCTATGATCACTTGGAAACCTTGAAAGATAAAAAGGAGTGTTAACTTAATGTGTTCACGTCCAATATTAGAAATACATACACTACTATACCTTGCATGTTCTTACAAGTCAAAGATGCCTGTTGTTCAGCTACCACACTACCGCGTCAACATCCAAAGAAACATTGTCACAACTAACACAATTAGACCCTATGTACAATCCCCTATAACTGGTTGCCTATACTATAAGTATGTACGCGACAAAACTGAAACAAACGATTCTACTTATCTATTTATAGTGTAAAGTTGAAAATAATCAACGCAAAATTTTGCGACGGAATACCTCAAACTCGTCAAGACCAAGTGACAACAACTGCCATAAACCCCTGTAAAGATACGGTACCGTAAAAAAACGATTACGTCCTACGCTACTGATATTGACTTTATCTCATTGGCATTTAGTGTTAGCAGAACATAAATCCAAGCCATTTAAGCGTCATCTCAATCAACCTGAACACTGTGCACCTGATAGGGTTCTGCTTGGTGTGCTTTGATACATGCTTTGTCCATTATCAAAATGGTTTTAGCCTTAGTGGTACTGATACGAGTCGGAACCAAGTAATATGGCAGAGTATGGAACACTGCCAGGCCAAATGTAGGATACCTTCTTTCTGTAGCAGATATAGGCTCAAATACAGGTATATTATATCGCGTCCGTTGTTTTTTGCTGACATATTTAAAATGAATACGTGCATATGGGTGGGAATCTTACACTAACCACTTTCACTAACCTAATAGAAATATGGCGGCCCCGGAGATGTATGACCATGGTACTTGTGTCCAGTCCATGGTCTCGGCCCCCGTAAAGTAGAGCACCAGATATATGGGGAGGGAGAGCAGGAGGCAGAACAGCGCTGGAAAACAAAATCATATTGTTCGTAGTTCTTAACGAGGAAACGATGTGACGTAGCTGATTATCTGGTTTGTATTAAGTGGACATAAAATATATATGATTATTAGACAGTGAAATACATTATTTTTTTTTTGTTTAAACAGGTTTTTGTATTTGTTTGCTTATAGAAACATTTAAATAAGTCACCATCATGCAATGTGATGTATAGTTTCATTACGTCCTTGGAATGATGATTATGATTTGTAGGCAGCCAACAACGGTGCTTCATCTAAAAATAGGCTGCTTGTCATCTAAACGAACATTACAGAAATACTACTCGTTTTAATGATTAATGCAATTAATCGTGTGTGTTTGCTGGCTTTAATAGCCGTGTTTGCGTCTGGGAACACTCACCAACGGCGGACTTGAAGAGCGCCAACTGCCCCCAGGAAATTTCTCCGATCCATTTTCTGATTAGCACCTGTGGTAAAGTGTATGACTATTACATGGCGCAGTTCACACGGTCAAATAACACCAAGTTAACGTACTGACTGGCAGATATGTTTGTAGCTATATTTAAATGTAATTTTTATGCCAAATTATCACAAGAAATTACGGACAAACATAGAAAAAGGTGCTAAAAGATATTTCAAAAACATTCTCCGTAAGCACCATTTCCACTAGGTACATTTTTCAATGTTGGTTAGTCCTTGTCGAGTTCGTTTTGACTTTTTAAACCTAAACTTAAGTTAAAAAAACTAAGTTCCTTCACTTATTATTGTAAATTCCACTTGATATGAAGCTTGAAATTATAAACTCTCCCAGCGGAAGACAAGAAGTGTTCCTTATATTACATAGCGGTTTTCCACACGCTCAATAACGCGACCATTACCTTTTGAAACGCTCCGGCCATGGCGGACACTGCGGCCATGGCGGCCCCCCACGTCCAGAGAGAGGCGTGGTCAAAACCCTCCGGACTCCCATGGACCATGATGACCACACCCGTCACCGAGATGAGGATAGCCACTATCTGGAATAATAATAATAATAATAATAATAATAATAATAATAATAATAATAATAATAATTATAATAATAATGCTGATTGTAAAACTATTAAATAATAATAATAATAATAATAATAATAATAATAATAATAATAATAATAATAATAATAATAATGCTGATTGTAAAACTATTAAATAATAATAATAATAATAATAATAATAATAATAATAATAATAATAATAATAATAATAAAGTTCCTTGCAATAGAAAGCAAGATACTGTGGCAAGAGCCGTTGTAAATGCATTTACAAATATTCGAATAAATAATCATTATAATGAAAACGAATACAGATTGTACCTTTATTGAAGGACTGTTAAAGGACTGTTAAACCTTAATCATGTACAAAAAAAAAAAAAAAAAATACTTACCCTGAAGGCTATGAATGTATTACAGAGCAGCGTCCATGAGAACAGATACATAAAACAAGGGTACGTAGCCGATAAGATGACCACATCCAGCACCGAGATCATGCCTAACGCGCGTATAAACATGTACCATGGTCCAACCCACAGGAAGCTGAAGGCAACACACTTACAGATGATACTCAGAGGACGGTAGGTGTCGTGTTCGCTGAAAACAGCTTTATATTCTCTGGAACATAAATAAATAAATAAATAAATAAATAAATAAGTTACGTAATCGGAGGACAGTGGTGTCGTGTTCGCTGAAAACAGCTTTATATTCCCTGGAACATAAAGAAAGAAAGAAATAAAGAAAATAATAAATAAACAACGCACTCATAAGACGGTAGGTGTCGTGTCCGCTGAAAACAGCTTAATATTCTCTGAAACATATAAATAAATAAATAAATAAATAATAAATAAATAATTAAGTAAATAAATAAAATACATAGCGTAATCAGAGCACGGTAGGTGTTGTGCTTGCCGAAAACAACTTTATATATTAATTATACACTTGCGTAATATAAATTCACAAATGAATAAATACATAAATAAACCTAAAAATAAACTACTTGAGCATATTTTCATTACCCCAAAACTTAAAATACCTTAAAGCATACAGGAAATCCGGATCTATATTTAAACAAAAAGCTGCCCTACGAGTGCCATAATTGTTTGTTTTTGTAGAGAAGAGCAGTGGTACTTACATGTTCAATGAAAAGCACTTGATATCAAACACACAGAGAAATGTCAATATAATATCTGCAAGGCAAATATTTTTGTTTCTGAGGTAGATTGTTTGACTTTCTTTGTTACCGTGTAATCGATATATCCCTTGTTTCATTCTTATGCTATTTATCTTGATCTAAATTAAGTGTGATAGCGAGAACGGCTGCGACATATGAGTGGGTTTCCCTTCTTTAAATCAATGTTTTACGTTCCATTCCAAGAATTTTTATATAGAAAAAAACTATTAAAATGAAGCAGGAATTTTGCTGTATCTAATTGTTGCCGACGACGTGTCTTTTCATTGTTCTAAAAGACTTCTAACTGACGACAAATTAATAGCCAAGTCAATAAAGAAAACTGACACCTTTGCGGTCCCGATACTAATGGTATAATATCATTCTTGCCAAGTACATATAACTAAGAGTTATCCAGGAAAACATCTCATGTGCTTCCTGTTTTAGAATTTGCAATTTTATGAAATCTTGTTCAATAGCTATGTCTTATTATAACATCATCACAGCAATAAATAAATAAATAAATAAATAAATAAATAAATAAATAAATAAATAAATAAATAAATAAAATTATAATAACAAAATAATAATAATAATAGTAGTAATTAAAAATTAAAAACAGAATAAACTAAAGATAAATTAATAAAACAATTCTAAAAATGTCCACCTGCGAAGACTACAGGCATCAAGTAGTGAAAGCAATGCTATTTTTGTAATAATAAATAACGAAGTAACAAATACCGAAATATTAAACCAATCCCAGGTGAAAACATACACGTTTCTGACGCACATCCCAGGCTTTGATTTTCTACAAGCCAGAGCGATAGTTCATCTACAATGTCAGTAATTAAAAGCACTTCACGGTGACCAGGTATAGAGTAAACACAGTTGGATGTTCGACTGAATCGCGATCGATAATTCTGCTGTAGCGTTTCAAGTCAAGGGGGAGGGTAAACAGACTGAAAAGCATTAGACGGAGGATATTTCCTTTTAAAATGCCTCATTTTCTGTTGAGGTGGCTGAACTTACATTGAACTGCTGGAGTTATGTTGAAGCAGATGTTTGAGATGCTAGGCACACAGTACAAGCTGTTGGGGGGGTGGGGGGTGGGTGTGGGTTTGGTAGGGGGGGGGGGGAGAGGGGTAGCTCCGGGCAGTGAAACATAACAACAACCTCCGATAACAGGAACTGGGAACATCGTTGCGTTACGTCTGAACCGATCCCAAAGATGAACTGATGTAGAGGGATACGTGATTCAAGATGGAGAATAAACAGTAAATACAAGGAACCAGCCCAACTCAGTGTCTCACTCAGGTCTTGGGTGGGGGTGGGGGTGGAGGTTTACACAGCGGGTCACGTGCCCCAGCCCTTATCACCAGCGGCATCCCCGTCTCCCATGCCTAATATAGATACATAAGAACTGAAGTGAGGAAATCAACCGATTTACCACTTTGCTAGCACATTACAGTAAAACTGCCCACGCGTCCACTAGTTTATATTTGCCGAGCGATCCAAAAACTTTACACCCCCCCCCCCCCACTTTACACCCCCACCCATTTACAATAGCCTGAGTCACTGAGTCACACACAGGTGACAGAGTAGACACAGAAATGTTGGAATCAAATCAAACATGTACTGACTATAACCGAATCGATAACATTGCCTGCATCTCTTTATTAAGTCATGGCCACGTCGGGGCTGATTTGTCCCTAGTGAAGAACTGACGCCTTGAGATAAAATGTATTAATGCGTGGTGAACCGTTCGTCATGGCCATTTTTCTGTTTTCCATTTCTGACTGCTTCAATCACCAGTATAGCAGCAGTTAACAGGTATGAGTGGATTTGACGGTTTTTCACGAAAACATGTTAGCTCGCGCGGTTTCCTTTCCAATGTTGGTGCCGGTATAACAGGAATGGAAGTCCTAGTAATGGAAGTTCGGACACCCATATGATCAGTACAGGTTAGGGTTAGTTGGAGTATTGGGGTTAGTATATGGGACGAATTCCACCTGTACAAAGTAATGGGAACGGACTACGGTCCCTAGCTATAGCGTACTACCATTACTGTCACGCCTGTCCTTGAGGCTGCGCGTCTTCACACAGTTAAAGTGAACATTACTGTGTTATGACTTTTTTCATTTACTTTTTATTGAAATCCCTGACAATTAATGTTTGGCGCGTTATTAGTACCCTAGGTTCTAGATTCCGGTATTGCCAGCTCGATCTTGATTTCATATATAACACATATCAGCAATACTAGTAAAAGCGACTCCATCACAAGGTATATATAAGCTAGTTAGCTTTTACGTTGCTCTGACACTCAGGGTAGTTATTTGTCACCTCAGTGCTAATCCACCCCCCCCCCTTCCTGCCCCCACCTCACCCCAATGTATATAAACATATCCACAGTCCGACCCTCACCTTCCCAGGCTTGTATGCCAAATAGAATCTCTTTAAAGAAAGATATCTGAAACTAGAGAACAAACCAGTCACCTACGCGATGCAGAGATACTTAATACATCGGTTACATAAAAAACAAACTAAACATTGATTTTTTCAACCTGTCGATTCAATTAACATCAATATGATATTTCCTGTCGTGAATGAGAGTTTTTGACTAGATATATCCTTTGTAACAGTGATATGGCGTTCAATACAATATAAACACGACCATCATCTGAGATTAAGCAATCCCCAAATCAAGTTTCGATGTCATTTGGACAGTGCTTTTTTCCCTCTTCCTTATCATATATGTATTTGATATTTGTAAGCGAAGGAGCCGGGGGCACTGGGGGGGGGGGGTTACCCACCAACTCCTTCTTTTTAATCACGTCGTAGCACTGTTGCGGGGGGGGGGGGGGTGGATACAGATTTTGCCCCGTCGCTCAATTATGCTGAATGTTTAGCGGTTCAAATAACATTCAAATAACGTTCTCGCAGTTAAGCATTTCCTCCAAGCACTTTCTCGACCTACAACTCTATTAAAATTCTGAGGTTTATCGTTGCTTTCAAAAGCTGCTTCACATTTAAGAACATTGAAATATGGGAAATAATGGCCGCTGTCAGAGATATTCGGTGAAATAAGATTCTGTACGACATTAAAGAGAATGACATTAAACGTAAACATGATTTACAGTGATGATGCAATCATGCACATTTATATCGTAAGACAGTAAGAACTATACTATACCCTGTACATGCTTTATTATTTGTACAAACGTGTATGAACTTGGGCGGTAGGCTATATGTGTACATGCTACTGAATAAAAAAATGGTACGACATGAACAAATAATGTGAAATAATATATGGCGAAATGTTGCTGAATTATGCATGGGTGATTTCGAGAAACTAAAATTTGAATTTTTCTGCTGCCCACCCGTAAACCCTTGAGACAGTACCTACCTCCAAGAAGAAGAAATGGGCAACTTCCCCCTCGTTCGCAACCATTTCGCAACAATGCACACCGGGAACATTATGATTGGCCAGATGCTGCAAAAGTAGGTCAAGAAAAACGGTGCCTGGAATGTCGTATACAACACAAACGTTCTTCTCGCCAGAACTGTAAATCCCACGAAAGTTACCGCGAGAGTTATGGTGGTGATGATTCCACAGACAATCTTCCTAGGTTTCTCCGCGCTGGATGGCTGCAGTATATCGCTGTTGTTGAGCTGGGTCGCTGACACGGTGGAATTGTCCACACTGGCGGCCGAGGTCACCGTGACCTTCGGGATGGTGCGGCCTGATGAAGTATTTCCGCCTGAAAGGGGTGAAGAGGCGCCATATAACATCAATAAATTTGAAACAATTTCAAATAATTTGTATTTTATAAATCAATTTTTGTCAAGTTTTAACGTAGGCCTATCTAAGTGCATGCTTTAAGTGAAACTTAAAATTGGTCGTATGATATTTTTTTAATGTAACCTTGTTACATTTTGGTTCTGGGGTACATAGTAGACAATGAAGCTAATAATTTATTTCTTACAGAGCATATTATATTTTAATATTTCTGCTGTTTACGGTTAAAGTATAAATATCTTCAAATGTAAGTTACTGAAATGAAACAAATTTAGCAAAAATGTTTTATAGAAAATTAATAAAATACCTATTTAGGATATTGTCACCCTTCGCCCCAAACTCCTTATTTACTGCCTTATATACATACTTTTGGGTAATAAATAAATCTTCGGTGTTCAGTGACATAAACATTTACACATATTAACATGTATATATATATAGATATGTCATCTTACGGGTGATGTCATAATTGCGATTTTGGGGTAAAAAATGAAAAATTGGTTTCTCAAATTTCTCTTTGACCTGAGCACCCACGTTTTAACGCCGATTTAATGACACTAGCGATTTTTCTTAGTTGAGGTTTTATTCAACTGTCTTAGTTGAGATTTTATGGTTGATAAAGCAAAAAAAAAAAAATGTCTTTGTTTATTGGAAATCTGTAAGAACGGGTTCATAACCCCCAAAGAAAAAAAAAACAAACATTTAAACGAAAATGACGGCAAGTGATTGTAGGTTATACAATGTAAATGCGGCCAATTTTCGTGATTAAGTCTTGTTCAAGTTACGCCCCATACCGATTGCTGTCCCCCCTCAAAATAGAAAGGTATTAAACTGACGATTAAAGCTTTGAGTTACCCATGTTTATGCATTGAAACGTAAAACATATAAACGCCGATATTTTAAATTTGCGATGGTTTTTTCATTGTTCTAAATAAGCACAAAAATAGATGAATTATTGAATAATAAGATGCAGAAAAAGACTCATTTTCGGTTTCTGGATGATAATAAATGGTTACAATATGCGTATAAGATGGGTTTTATAGGTAATTCCCAATGAGCTTCGGCTTAAATACAAAAAGTGAAGCTTGTTTCATTATCTTTAGGCATAAACAAACATATCTCATGGGTCCAAGAGTCGGTGAAGATCTTTCGCAGACCTGGCGCTCTTATTCCCTCATGTAAAAGTCTATGGAAGACTCGCATTTCAAGAAAATAACTAGGCCATTCCTCTGTGTGCTTAAGTACATGCACTGTTTCATAACTCTAAGATCGCATTCACAACGAGTTGAGCCATGGCTTTACAAATCCTGGAACTAAATATGGCGGACGTACATGAAAGAAAAACCGCCTAATCTTTTAATAGTCTCTCCGCCTCTCACACGCCTCCCCATGCGTCGTCCCTGCGGGGGTACAGTCATTAAATCTCGACTCCATTGGGACGACACATGGGGAGG